TATAAAAGAAGGAAAGTGGTATTGAGGCCAGGAGGGGATCATGGAGGATTGGGGTGGGAATTGCTTTTACCATAGCTTTGAACTGATGAAAGTATACATGTATTTCTGAAACCTAAGACTAAAAACAGTATGACACGGTCTAGGTCGAACACAGAAGACTTGAAATCACGCATCCGTCGAACTGTGCCCGTGGTCCTGTTTTTTCTTTTCTTTATCTTTGTATGGTATCTCTCGAACTACAGATCCTTTGAACTACCGAGGCTAGTCTCGATGAATTCGAGCTATTCGTGTTCTACTGTAGCCAAGTAAGTAGTCTGAAAAAAAGGGACAACATGATATCTAGATCTAGATTCTAGATTTGATACCTAAAGTAGACTATATGTTACTTCTGATACAGGGTGAATTATTTGGAATTTCTTTTTTGAAGACACTCTATACTCTATGCTGGAAGATGGCGGGAGTTATCATTTAGGTTCGGCAGAAGTGTCTAGAATAGAGGGCAAACAGCGAGAAAGGAAAATCCTTTAAAAAATGAAGGAAGAAGTTAATATGATATGTGACAATATGTCAGTCACGAAGCTCACCATGGTGTATTGACAACAGCTAATAAGCTGCTCCTTTAGTCACATTTGCTCTACAGATTCTTACTAGTAAATTCTAATGCTTTATACTAATAAAACAGATAGAATCTCTAAGAGCTTATCTCAGGCTAACTTATTTGACGAGCCAGGGTTAGAATCTGGATCTGCCTTCGGTAACTATTTTAAAATCTGTCATGAACGGTGCAAAACGACACAAAGAACCAAGAAATGTTGCGCACCAAAATTTCTTACCTTTGCTTTTATTGGTTTTGGCGGCATGTTGGAGAGTAGCTCAGAAAAGTAGTGGAAACTTTCAGCCTTTCTCACGAGCTACAACTCGAGAAAGCTCGTCTCCATCAAAAACAGGAAGTGAAGTTCGTGTAACTAATGACAACAGACATGTGCAAAGAGAGTTATCTTCCCACAAGGCTTTTCAATTAATGGAGAAATCCAAACTTCCGGTGAAACCGAAAGAGTAGCACAACGAAAAAAAACAATGGTAGATTTTGTATACTTTGTGGAGTTGTGAAAGGATGGCAAATTCAGGGTAAGTTCTTTTGAAACAGTTATCTCCCTTTATTCCCAACATTCCAGTTATACTTTGTTTGAAATTAACATTCTCAGAGAGAAAGAGCATTTAAGTAAGATGCTAGAATCTAGATTAATATTATTATTGACCATTCTCACTACTGTTACTGTTACAAGTTACTGTTGTCACTGTTGATATAATTCATCTTGATCTCAGCTGCTATCTTGCAACTTACCGTGTTTCCAACTCCGACTCAAATTCACCTGGCGAGTAGGCTAGACACTCTTTATTTATTTAGATCTAAAACTTCTACTGAAGACTATAATAGCCTAGGCTGCGGTGAATTTTTACTTTCTGTCCTGCACACAGATGAGCACTGCTTTGAGTGTCAAACTGCAGTATTTAATTTTTGCTGCAGCTGCAGTTGCAGATCACAATAGCAGAGTCTGTGACTCAATATAATATGACAGCAACTAAATTAAATAAATCACAAACAGACTGTCTCAAAACATTTAATTACTTTAAAGAAATGTTAAACTAATTAAACCAAGAGTGAGCTAGATTCTAGGCCTCCTAATTGCAAATAAGTGAAAACATTGATTGTGGGGAAGACAAAGATAGTAATAACAAGATGGGCCACTCAGCCAAAAAAGTGTCCGCCGGAAGTCCGCTATTTGCTTCAGATGGCGCTGCAGTCTGTTTTGAAGCTCTCTTTCGTTTTTCCAGAAGAAGAATAGGAATAGTACCTCCTTGCGTGCGCAGATCGACTGCTGTTCATCAGCAGTTCGGGTTCGTTTAGTGCGGAGTTTTAGTTTTTTAAATATTTTAATGACCTCTCGCCTTTCAAATTAAACGAAGAAAACAATCACCCTTTCCTCCAGAAGAGGTTTATTGTCAGCATAACCACTTTAAAAAAGCGTTCATCCGAAATTTATTAAAAAACTTGCTAGTTTCACTTTGATTTTAAAAAACTCAAGTAGGGTAACTCTGTTCGCAAAGGGTGCGCATTTGCGAAGAGGGCGCCACCGAATTTTGAGGACACTTTTTTAATTGGCTCAAAGAGAGAAGTGGCCCCTCTTGTTATATATGTAGACTCTTTGGGGAAAAACAGGGACATAGACTCTAGATCTATGCCAACCCACTTTTACAGGGGGAGAGGGGGGGGGGGGGGGGGGAAACGAGAATTGCTGAGATTGTTTATAAAAGATAACACAAATTAATTTTTTTTAAAAAGCCAAGCACGGCGAGATCTAATCAACAGTTACTGGCGAGGGAAACCGAAAAGTCTTGGGGGAAAACCCAGGAGATGGCGGAAATACGTCATCTATTTGGGCCAATCACAGAGGTGTGCTAGGTGCTCGCTGTAGCTTCATGTGTTAATTTTTAAAGTGCTCATTGGAGCTTTGTTCAGGAATGTCTTGCTTTTACAATCTCACCGTCTGATCCACTTGCAGCCCCTACTGTACTTTCATATCTACGCAATATGTTAACAGTTTTAATGATTTATTTTTGCATGTTTAGTTTATGTTTGAGCAGCTGAGAATTATCAGCAATGAATCATTACGAAGCCTTATTAAAGCATCCTTTTCATAAACTTAAAACTATAATTAGATGAGAGGTTGGAGATGAAGGAGCTTGGCCCCCACCAGCTAGACGATTGTATGTTAGAACAAGGGGATGGAAGACAATGTGACTTCTTGTCTTGGTGGTTTAAAATATTCTGTGGTTCAATGTAAGTACCGGTAGAGAAAAATTTAAGCATTATCTGCCTTAAAGCATGCTGGCAGCATGGAACCAAATTTTCCTATTAATTATCACTCATAAGCGCACATTTCAAATCAATTCTGTCTAATAACACCATCGTTCCTGTGCTGGTGTCAGAAACAGATCAGCCTTAAATTAACTCTAAGGGCCTATAAAGTTATTTGCATGGAACTGATGGAAGCAAAGCAAACTCCACAAGGCTCTCCAAGATTACTTGAAATTGCAGCTTTGCCACAGTACAAAAATGTGTATACACGTAAAATCAATGTGTGAGACAGATTTGCACAGTGAGTAAATCCAATGACTAGCCAAGAGTGACAGGAGATCAGATGCAAGGTGGTTCACATCAATCAATGGAATTTGACAGAATGCTTATATATCTACATTACTTTTCTTTGAAATTCACTAAATGGCATGTTCACATAAAAGCATGCTTTTCTGATCTCCAGAGCTGTGTGATATTATTAAGTGACCAATGTATTGTAGTATGTTATCATGTTATCAGAAAGTTTCCTCTGAACAGTATTATGATGCAAACACGCCTAAAAAATTCTAATATTTGTACACTGTTTTGTTTCATTATGAGTCATCGTCATTTTTGTTTGTTTCTTCTGTATGACATACAGTTGGATATTTTAGACTTAAGGGATATGGGACTTCTGAAAAATCATTTTTAAAATAATGGAAGACAAAAATGAACCAATGCATTCATAACTTAGAAATGATTAATTAAACTCTTCAAAATAAAAGTATAGGGAAAAAAAAGATAAAAAGGGAAAGCAAAAAGTGAAGAATCAGATAGATGACTTTAATATAGATGAGAGCTTGAAAATTGTCTCTGAATAGAGATTGATGATCATTAAACTGGAGAAGGACAAAATGCATTAAAATGAGAAATTTAAAGCTGTGAAAGGCTTGCTGAGACCTCTAAAAAAATTTTTTGTCTTTTGAGTCACCCCTTGTTTTTGAAAATATTCTTTTCACAAGTGCTCTTAGCTTATCATTTTATTTCAGTTAAGTTTATTTTGATGTAAGAATATAGACCTACTTTGAATGAATCAACAGTTTTTATGTGCAAACTGTTTCTTTTTTCCCCCCCACATCTTTCTTGGCCTTGCACTCCTGTATTCTTATATGCTAGTTATTAATCGGTGCAGGTCCACTTGATGATCTACCCCGATATTGCATTCTTCCATGAGACGTGCGCAAGTTAATTTTTATACCATCAATCCGACACTTGGATGTATTATTTTCAAGCACTCAGGGGGCCAGTCTGTCCCCCGCCTCCTCCCAAACAAACTACAACCACCAAAACATTTCTATTTCGGCCAGTGATAGTCACAAGCCTGTATAAATGCAGAGGGAAGATCTTCAGTATTGTGGATTGTTGTAGATTAGTAGCCTAGACTGTCAAGTATGAAGAAGAAGAAAAACACTGCGGTTGACTGTCAACTGGATTAGCACCCATTAATCTCTCTTTGTACTTTGTCACCAATTCTGTCTTTGGTCCATATTTTTGGAGTTAAAACTTATTCTGAATCTTTTCAGGTGGCTCTTTTTTTGTAATTCACACCTACTGAGAATATTTTCAGGTGGCTATTTTTTGCAATTTCTAAATTAAAAGTTTGTTCCCTTGCAGCTATTGTGTTTTCATATTTACTGGAGGGTCTCTATGCTGTCTTATGATCATCTTCTCATTATTGTATTACCCATTCTTGTTGTGTGTGTCTTTTGCTTTCCATGTTTTCTCTTTCAAACTGAATTTCTGCCACCATCATTGTTTCTTCTAAAGTACAGAAGAAATGAATGAGTTCTTGTATTCCATGAGTTTAGCAGATTTTTTCCCCCCATGCTGAATCATCCCTTCACGCCCACCTGTCTCTCTCCGTCCTCACCCTCTCTCATTCTGTTTTTAAAGATTACACCCCAACACCCCCTCCCTGTCTTTCTCTTTTCATGGGTTCCCCCCCCCCCCCCCCCCCCCCTTTATCTGTCTGTCTGTCTCTCATTTTGTGGCTGTCAGTCTGTTTCTCTCAAGCCTCTGTCTGGTCTTTTTTCAGCCTCTTGCTTCCCTGTCGTTTCTATGCTGTCGTCTTCTCCAAGGTCAATAGAGACCCCACAAAGCGGATTAGTTCTTAGAAAAACTCGTATTCTCTCCTGCTTTGGCGCCCAAGGAAATGCATTTGAAGGGGGCTTAACTCTCGATCCCTGCCGCAGACTATCGATTGCTGACTTTCTCTTATTATTATTTCCCCTGCGCGAGAAGTTTGTTGAAGGTTGTGGTGAGCGGAGATGAGAAAGCTTGTTCGTTCTTGCCACTTGTGATCTGGTATAAAAAAGAACTTAAAGAAGGGGAGAAGTAAGAGAGCAAGGAAACTGGAGCAGTATAAAAAGGAATGGCGACCTTTGTGTAGGCTACTTTGACGGGAAGCTCCGTGAGGCGCCAGCGAAGATGTCGAAAGAGGAAGATGAGAAGCTTTGATGTTTTTTGGGGTTGTTTTTTTTTTTTCCATTTATGAAAGAAGATCGATGGAGTTTGGCAGCGATGCGAGGCAGTAACTTGTGCCTAGATTTAATACAAATTCGTATGTAGAAGCGGTTGCAGGGTCTCTTGTCTTTCTGATGCAACCAGTACGATGTATTGTATCTGTCACATTTTCAACAGGGTTTGTGTGATTTGAACAGAGTCGGCGAAATGCAATAACACGCAAGGACCACTCTTGTGTATCCGCTGCCCGTCATGACTAGTCATTTAGGCACAAAGATTAATTATCAATGGTGCCTTCACCTGCTCCTTCCTTTATTATAAAAGGTCAAGGTTAAAACGAAGTTAGGCCTAACAAAAAACAAACAAACAGTGATTTAATTGGCTGCCCGCCTTTCACACAGACTTCGCAGATTGACAAGGACTAGGGCCTATCAAGTAAGAACAGTTT